TATATATATATATATATTATAATAACAAGTACATTTTTGCCCAGGCTGTTTTACTGAATTTTAAAGGGTATTACATAGCACCGAAAAATAAGTTACGGATTGATATGTATGTATGTATTTATTTTTTTATTTATTTTAAACCACATTTGACATTTTGCCTAAACCTCAATTTGTTCTTTTTTTTTGAGTGGGGGGGGAGGGGGTTTCAGCCTCAATGTTGTTATAAAATGTGTATTGTAGAAACAGTACGGTAGTGTTTCTTAAAATAATGTTTACCTAGAATTATACTTTTGTAAATATCATATTATAATTTTATTATTCTTAAAAAAACTAATTACATGTTCAAAATCATAAACATTTTTTTGTTTTATAATGAATGGATGGATAAATGGATAAATAAATGCAAGCACGACGAAAGAACTAAAGCATGAAAGAACAAACAAAAGAAGGAACGAACAAATCAATTAAGGAATTATTCCAAATTCAACTAATGATTTGTAGGTAACGTTAATGAATTTTTCTATTTATTAGAACTTTACCAGGAGGCGGTAAGAAACTGAAGCAGCCTTCAGTCTCTTCACATTTCAGATGGGGTGGGGCTGAAGTACTGTCGACCATTGGACAAAATTGTCTATATGTGATGTGCGCTGAGCAATACGGTATCACGTACGAGAATTTTTATGAACAGGTGGGATTTAACGCGATTTTCTTTAATGAAAATAACATTAAGGTCTATGTTATAAATCAATGGCCCCTCGTGTTCAACACGATTGTCCGTAATATTTATCTTCTCATTATTTGTTTGTTTAATGTCCCAAAGAGTATAATGTCCAAAAATGCATTTTTTCTCTTCAAATATTGTAAGCATACATTAGGTGACATGTGTTTTTGTCTGTTTACTTTATTGTCTGGAAAATTTAGAAAACTTCATAAAACTTTTATCCATTCAAAACATAGAACTGTGCACTGATACTGTAGGCCTACATGTCTTTTGCTACGGAAGTTCCCTTTGCAGAATAATGATTACGGTTAATTCAACGAATGTTCACTACAGTACTATAATTTTTGCTATAGGTGTACTGTATGTATGACCAGTTTCCCTTGATAATTTCAGTGAATTATTAAACACAGAAGAAATACCAACTCGTGAAGACATTTTATACGTTTTACTTTTCATGTAATGACTGAACGTCAAGGTTTTTCCCTTTATTTTTTAAGGTCGAAGATGAAGTAGAGATACATCCTCCCCCCAAAAAGTCAAGAATTATTCCACTGGTAAGTGTGATGTCTAAACACAGACATTTTCTTAAATATGCAGTAAGTGAAGTTCATAAAGTATTTTTATATCGAATAAGGGCTTTTGCATGTCAAAGTGTGTTTGGTATAATAATAGTATTTTGTTTTTTTTTATTGTTACAAACGTAGTTAATGACGACATTGTGGTGTAGGTAGTAATGAAAAAAAAGGTCTAGACTAGTGAAATATAAAGACACCGTCTTAACCTGCACAACCGTCACCACTATCGCCACCACTGTAGAGCCTGAAGTAATCGACAGTTCTTAGTTACAGAAATGCTCAGATATTGGATTACACATTCTTGTATTGTAAACAAATCGAGAGAACATTGATCAACATTTGTGATTGTTGAAATTAATATACATTAACCCGCAGGATTCAAGTGACGATGATGACTTGCCTGAAATATCGTTAGATGATCCAGGAAGGTCTGTTGCTACAGGACGAACTCTTCCGCTCAACGCCACTGAGGAAGGCACTGGATCTTCTAGCTCAGGCCAACGAACTGCGTCCAATATCACTCATCAAGCAAGTGCGTCAACCAGCACAAGCACATGCCAAACAACTGCATCCGCCGCAAGACAACACTATCAGTGAGTAACGTACACCGACACTATCGGCGTTTGAACATTATAACTTGTCATTTTTGTTAAAATTGTTTTTTTTTTTCTTTCAATATGTACATATATATATATACATATATGTATATATATATTATATATATATATTTATATATATAT